TCTCTCTCTCTCTCTCGCACCAGTTATGTGCAGCCCTGATTATAGAGGTGCGGGCTGTGCATGCAAAGATTTCTGCGTCCCAAGCAGGAAACACATGACTTATCAGTAACTTTAGACATTGTAAAACCATTTTTATCCATATTTTATCGTACCTTGTACCTTGTTCATTAAAAAAAAATAGTAACATTAAAGTATTTTTTAATGACAATCTAGAATGTGGGAAGAGGTGGGGTGGCGCCCCTACAGATGTAGCGCTTCATTTCAGACGCCTACCCTTGCGGGTCCGTGATCGGCACGGGGTGGGCCCCTGCTGAAAAGGAAAACCCCCCCGCAGGACTTGAAACGCCCCCTTGATAAATACATTTAATTATAATGAAACCAGCTGCAATGGATCATGGATCCACCAGGGGGAGCCGTGATTAAAAAGCTGCCACACTGGAACTCATGTGAAATAAACAGCTGATCTCCAGGTATCTGATATCGCGGATATTTGTTAAGATCCATATGTCACGGATAGGATCATATTCTGTGCTAAATAAGAGACATGTAATCATTTACTAAACATCCCCATGTTTTTATTTAACAAAATAATGTTTAATTCACATTGGCGTAAGTACAAAACCATCGCTATGTTTTTAGATCAGGAAATGCAGCCCAGCTCAAACAAACGATTTTCAATCATCATCCTCACGATCATTTAATGTATCATATGTTCGCGAATTGAAATGAATGCACTAAAACATGTAGTTTAATCCACGTGAGTTTACAACAACAAAAATAATCGCTTTGTTTTTATATCACATCCGACCGGAGGCAAATGGAGCGGCTCTCACTACCGATCATCCTAATCCCACGGGCAAACAATAATATGTACAGTGTTAATAGTTTACTGTATTATTAGTGTCTAATATTACTGCTATAATAATCACACATTGAGTTGTTGAAATCAGACCGTCGTTTTTTTTAAACAGTCTGAATGAAACGGCAGCTCTCAGGTGATCAGCTGTGTGTTTACACAATACAATATGCATAGTAATTTAATAAATCCTTCCAACACACATTGTAAGAACAGTTCTGTTTCATATGAGTGTTGAGAGCTGTATCCACACATCTCTAAATGTTGCCCTCAGTGCACCAGATTGATGCATTTAACTTCAATTTAAATAAAAACATCTTCTGTTGTAACAACAATAACATTATAAATAGTAACATAGTATTGCACATTTAGCTTTGAGTGTTACTGGCCTGAGCTTTTTTTATTACATGAATTAAGGTGTATAGTATTCGTTTATTAGTCCCCGAGGGGAAAATGGGTAGCAGCACATCACAGAGGCATTTAAAAAGTTAAGACAATACATTCTGGAAATGTTCACATCAGGCACCTTCAAGTTAAACAATACTACAGTAAACAATTAACACAGTAAATTATGTGGATTAAATCACATTTATTTCGTTAAAAATAAACTAAATATGATTTCCTCCGGAGTCGGCTTGACTCGGTTTGCATTCATAAAGAATGCACAAATGTGTTTAATCGTTAATGTCAGATAGGCTATGTACTAAGTAAATAGCCTACATTAGTTCCTGCTCAAGATTAGATTCAATTTTATTATTATAGCACAGATTACAGGTACTGAGACAACGAAAAGCAGTTTAGCTTCTAACCAGGTGCAACAAGCAGTAAAGTGAAAAGTAATGTACACAATAGACAGAATAAAATATAGAATGAATTGAATGAATCATACTTCAATAATGAAAAGTAAACTAATATTAGACAAATATGAACTTTAACCATCCATGACTTAAACATATAATCCAGGATACAAGCCACAGAGTTGCACCTGCAAGGTGAATACAGAACAACTGGTTAAAAATAACAACCAAGTGTTTGAAAGCGTACAGTTTTATGATATCACTGCCCCGTCTAAGACACGAGTGGATCTGTCTTGAATTACATTTGAGTTGAGTGTTTAGTCAACTTAATGTGTTGCTTAAAATAATACTTCTGCATACAGTATGTGACACTGTAAGTGATGCACGGCCAGATACGGCTCGAGAAGCTGACTCAGATAAGGAAATGTGATATATTATGATATTATATCTGAATGATAAAGTGCGACACGTCGGCGTCTTCTCTGCATACGGCAGTTTAAACTGTATTTCCTTTATCCTGTAATATGACTTGATATATTTAAACTCCGCACACTGAGCTCTGATTGGTCAGCAGGCGGTGCTTTCACTGAGTTGATCTATTTTCTATAGACGCCGGAGCCGGGCAGTGTCAGGTAAAAAAAAGTTATTTAGCCTTCCCAAACCTGAGCCTCACGCGCCGCCTATGTCCTTAGGACCATACCGTTCACCAGCCCCAACCTCCCATGTTTCCTATGCTGTATGTTGGGAACTCTTTGTTTAAAACTAATTGGCCATCGGAATGTGTGGACTCACATTCCACAGCTCTCCC